GGGGGGGGGGGGGGGGGGGGGGGGGGGGGGGGGGGGGGGGGGGGGGGGGGGGGGGAGCTGTTGACCGCCTCCATGTGGAGTCTTTCTCGATGTTCGGTATTATGTGTGGAGCGTATGTGCGAGGAACACCTCATTCATTGAATGAATTTGATGGATCAAGGACAACGGGGGATGCGCTCCAGTCCGTACCGTGCGTTTCTCCTCGGCCGCAAGGTGGGGTGAAACGCATAGCGCCGGGTTCTGCGGCCCATTCGAAAGCTCTCTCAACGAAGGTAGCCGACACTGCAATGTTGACGTCCACGTTCTTTTCATGAGAGACGACGCGTGGTGAATGGGGCTTGTGGAAAGCTGTTGTAAAAAAAACTGTTTGTGATACTCAAAAGTCTTGAGAAAAAACTTTCACTGGCAACCAGCATCGTTCCTCCCATCGGCGTCTCAATATTCCGCCATCCACCCTTGTATCAAGATTTACAATACATCAAGCGATAGACTCCAAGCCCTACTTCTACCGAACACACCGTGTGCCGAGACTGCAACGAGAGATGAGCAACGTTGGAAGCTGCGATATTGTATCAACAAGGAGATAAACTACATCAAAACCCAATGCCCCGTGATCCGCCATGTATGGTGCGCGTCCTATTTGGCCACGTCTTGTCGACGGCGTCACTAGTTTGACAAAAGCTGTTCGCTGCATGTGAACCGGAAAGAACTTTCATAGTTGGCCTTGATCACAATTTTCGAAGATCGTTTCACTCTATTGTCCACGTGACCCAGTTCGACTCGAGATTCATTCGACACCACAATCTTTCACCAGAAGCCGGCTGAATCATTTAGAATCATGTTTTTGACAACAAGCAAGCCGACTCCACCACCCAAGTGTGATTCCATTTTCCCTCAAGATTTTCCTGAATCGTTTACTTCCCCCCCTGGAGATGGCTGAAAAATTCTTGCCAACTTTTATACAACAATAGCAACCGAATTCAACTCCACCCGTGCGGGACCCCACATGTTTTCACTCGACATTCATCCCACACGTTCACATTGTTTCACTCTACATTCATTCCATTCCAGAACCACTTTCACCTACTCCATCAGCGCGGATGCACCATATCCTTGGTGAAGACAAGAACCCTAAGCCACAATCATTGCGGATGCTACTATTTTCTGGCCATCGAAGGGGTGATTTCTTACAAGTGCGTCAGCACGCCGGCGATGCACCGGCAAGCGAAGGCTGCACGCGAAAACATGCGCCGGTGTGGGTGTATGAGGTTCGGCTTAGAGTGGAGACCGTCACAAATGCTTTCCCTCGGATCCGCTGACAACACTACTGCCGCCACAATGATATAATTACGTCGGCGATGACACCGTACTTGGTACGGCACGTGTGGTTCCCCCCACTGGCCATCACCCAGGCCTCCAACATACTGAGAACTGGATACTTACAGTATGCCATCCAATTCCCCCCCACGACTACAACAGGATGTAGCGCAGACAGCATACGACAGTCAAGGCATACCTGAACTACCTAGCCGTACGTGTATATGCTGGCAGAACGTGTATAGTGATGCCGACATGGTGCCGTATTCTGTTTCTGGGCCGCTGTCGCGGTGCTCCGGTGTTCACTACAGCATATTCACACGCCCATCTCCTTACAAACGGTTTTTGGCACGCTCTTTGAGCTACCGTGGCACCCTGTAACAGCTTTATCCTTTCAGGGTCGCGTCGAAACCCCGTCTTCATCCATTGGAGCTCAGAGCTCGGTGTGGAAAGAAAAGTCACCACCCTTTTTCACGAGGTGCTCCAGATTGTGGCCGCCTTCATGGTGCTCCTGGGCAAACACGAAGCGCGGGGAGCGGGGAGGGCCTCAGAGCGAGAAAATTCTCAACTCTACTGAGTCGTAGAGTCATGTGGGTAATACGGTGATGTCGAGGGTCATCGATAGCGATGGCATCGATCAACGACCTGGGCTAGCTGCGTGACTCCTTTTCACTTACATCACAGAAGTCGTCTCCTGTGTAAAGACCCTTGCACGTCCGCCCGTCTAGCTTGAAGATGTCCTTGGCGAGCAGCTCCAGAACTGTCCCGCTGTACAGGCGGAACTTGTACGAGGCCGGCGGGATGCTGCCCTTGGTGTCACGGGCCTCCGATAGGTTGGGCAGTTCCTAGAACAATGCGCGTAGCACAAGGAGGGGACATGAACTGCTTGGGAGGAGCCCAAATCGACAACATCCACGCAATGCTATCATTGGAGGCGATTGAGAAGACAGATATTCGCAAAGTAGTCAAGGGGGATTTTCTGGTGTAACCGATGCCACACACTGTCAGACTTGCTCGTGCACCTGGGCCTGGTCAGTGCGATCGAAGACAGCGCTTCATTTCAACGCAATACCTAGCCTTCCTACCTGCTGCAGCCGGCGGACAGCGCTAGTCTCGCCCATCAGGGCGCCGTACACGCCGTCCATCCGGTAGTGTACGCCGATGTGAGACCTGCCGATGATCACGTTGGACGCCACCTGAAACGGCCACCCCGTTGGCGGTGACGGTGTAGAACAGATGGATGGGTTCGCACGAGAGAGGGTTGAGCTCAATACACACAGATGCCAGAGAAATCGTGCTCCGGATTTGGAGCACCGTGCAAGGCGACGTTCAAGTCAACGGAACTCCAGCGGCTCATCGACACGTTGATCGTGATAGCATGCCGCAGCTGTCGTACAGAGGCAAACGTTCACCGAAAGGAAGAAAAGGAAAGTGCGACACATCGAACGGCAAATAGTTGGGAAGCGCTTGGTATCACACAGAAACTGAACCTCCAATGAGGTGAGTCTGAGTTCATACTTGCCACACAGACCGAACTATAGTACATACGGCACATGTTGGTGAAAACCACGATTTCACATTGGCACACCACCCCAACCACCCCTCGTTGAAGAATGCACCCCCACCTCATCGACCGCTCACCTTGTTGAGCTCGCCCTCGTACGTGAGTCCCTGGACCTCCCTCCCGTTCTGATCGATGCACGTTTCTCCCTTGCGCGGGACGTACTCGATGCGCTTGGTGCCTTCGTCGTTGGACACCACTAAGTCCCCAAGGTAGCACCTCTGTCCGAGCTCGAAGCCGAGGAACGCCTAACAGAGGGTTTTCGTGTTGATGGGAGGAGCGTGGGGGACGGAGGAGGCACGGGTAGGAGGAAATCAACTTGGCCAGGCGAATCGGGCAGAATCGCTCGAAACGGCTGAAGCACCTATCGTTTATCAGCCCAAGCTTCGGGTGTGCGTGCCTTTCAACCGGCTTCACGGGCAATGGGCACAGGGTTGTGTTTGACATGGGGTACTGCATGGAAGGTGGTCGCCGGAACGGCATTTTGTCGACGCCGCAGGCCCCGATCCAGCAGTCGCTGAGGGTGAAGCTGCACGTGCACTGGAGGAGCCAATAGATCTACTGTATGATCTTGCCTTGCCTTAGGATGCAGCGACATAGTCGTTCGGTCTCCGTCTCCGTCTCCGTCTACCTACACATTGAAATTTGTCACCTCACCTTGAGCGTGGTGATGTAGGCACCAAGATTGATCGCGTGTCCGCTTGGGTAGGCCGGGTGAACGGGTGACCCCTCGGCGACGGCCATGGGGAGCAGGTACGTCCCGTCTCCGTGCCCCCCCTTGCCGTCGCCGTTGCATTTGGCGTTATGCGTCTTGACTCGGTTCAGCAGCTCCTACAATGGAAGATCAAAGAGTGACAGCACCAATGCCTTTCAACATTGAATACTCGTCAATGCGTTTTGGGGGAAAGTCAAAACTAGTGAGATGGAATTTCAGGCCCCTCTACTCTGAGCAACGAAGACTGCGTGAGGGATGAACTGACCGTGTTCTGGAGGATAGTCTTGGGCAGGGATGTGTGCAGTCGACCGGTGAGCGTGTTGTGTACCAGGCCCCCGTACGCCTCGGGCCTTAGCACGCGGTGCACTTGCCACTATTGTTGCGTTGCCACACCAACGAAGTAGAGAGAAGGGAGGGTCGGGAGCAGAGATGGGAAGGGCGTCAGGAGCGCCGACACACGGTAGAAGGAAGGGACGTCGTCCCTTGGTGAGGAAATGAACCATGCAAACAAGCGATTTCTTTGAGGAACACCGATCACTTAAGCGAAACAAACCCCGGGTAAAACTCCGTTCAATATTTCCACGAGGAGACCAACAACCCAGGGCTCTTCGCCTCTGCGCGTAAGGCCAAGACGTTCTCCGCACCTTGGCGTACCACGCGTGCCGAGTGGAGGAGCTGGAGGCCGCGAGGGAGGTGAGGATATGCGGCTCCCCGAAGGTGGCGAAGCCGACCTGCCGCTCGGAGGCGGAGTACGGGCCCTCGGCGCTGGAGAGGATGCCCTGGCGGAACATAACCAATGCGGCGCGGAACGCCTCGGTGTAGAGGCGGTCGGTGAAGGCGAGCGCGGCCAGGTCGCGGCCGTTCCGGATGAAGAGCGGCTTGTCCTCGTCGACGAACTCCGTCTTGACCTTGGAGGCGCCGTTCTGCGCGCGAAGTCCGGGTAAGCATAAAGGAGGGGTGGGCTCGGCGGGGGATATGTGGGCGGTGGAGGGAACGAAGCACGTTCTCTTACTGCCAGGGAGGTAGAACTAATGTCGCAGATATTCATGGGTTGCAATATCGCGGATTTAACTGGGTTTGGAAATAACGACCGAAGAATCACGCATACAGGCAAGAGATTCAGTGGTAGTGGGCACCAACGGCATGCGCCTCACACGTTCAGCCAGCGATAAGACAAACATGGCGTTCCGAACGAGACAAACCAGGCCCGTTCGGGGATCTGAACACGCAGTTGGCACTCTGACGAGAGTTTATTTCGTGGTTATTCGTTGTTAATCGTGTGGCACAGGAAATCCCGACCCCTGGATCAGGATGACACCAACAATACCATAGCCAAACTAAGCAGCCCCAACTACAACGGTAACGAAATCTACCTTGTACCGACAACGGCGGCGATTCGAAGCCGAACGACAGGACAGCCACCACAATCGCAACAACGCCAGACCAAACATTGGCGACGACGACCACGACCAAAACAACATTATCAACAGCAACAACAACTACAACAATACCAATAACAATTCCCTACACCTGAACATCAAGCCAGTCCTGGAAGGTAGTCATGTAGTCCATCTCCTTGACCAGGGTGACCTGCTTCGGCGGTACGATAATGTTGTCGATCGCGAAGTCCGAGAGAAGGAGTTGCGAGACCACGGGGCCGACCGTCACGCCGGGCCAATCCGTTCGGAACAGGTCCTGCATCGGATCGATCTTTCCACCCGCGCTCTTGGGGATGTTGAGGCCTTTGAACGCCGGGAGCCTCTCGAGGTTTTCTGTCGCGAAGTACACGTGTTCGGTGTGTGGAGGCGGGAAAAAGACAAAGAGAGAGGGCTTGTCAGGCTGCTATTCGTGGACGCTTTCGCCCGATGGGAGACATCATTGGTGGCGTACGGAAGCAGACAGGCATGCTTCGTCAAAGAGTTCAACTGAGGTTTCGCTTTTGGGCAGGAAAGTCACTCCCGCAACAGCCACGAGACACGCCATATTTACCAGCGAGGGGAAGTGCTGGCTTATGAGGAACCACCGCTGCCGCAACCAACTGAAAAAGTTATCATATTGCGACAGAGGTTTCGAAATAAATACCTTCTTCGTGAGTCTACTTCCTCAACAAGTTGCAATGCAGTTCACCTGCAGCGGCGCGGACGAGGGAATTCGTCGCGAATTCGCTGAAAGGGATGTCTCGAGTGAGGGCCATCCAGTACACCTCGACCATTTGCGCGGCCTGGATCACCGAGGTCGTTTGGGTTGCGTGCATGTGTCGTGGAGGATGATAACTCAATGACAGCTGTGCTTGGGGGCTAGTTTCGTCGTCATCGTGTCCCGTCGACAGATGATCAACAAGGAACTAGTGTGGAAAGGAAGGAACCAAGCGAATGTGGGAGATTTACGGGGAACAGATGAAAAGGATCGAGTACTATTGGGCAACACCTTTGTGATTACCAACCTGAACGAATCACAAACACGTGGGCAAACATTACCAGATGGACGACGCGTGTTCGCTACTCTGACGAGGGCCTCGACAATAAGATATTCCTCAAGAGGAACTCACCAGTTCTTCGGACAACACGCCGTCGGGCGTGGTGATGAAGACGTTGTCGCTGCAAATTCGGCGTCGAACAGACGGAGCGGCACGCGAGCTTCAGGGGTGATTTCGTCAAGCGTGGAGTCGAGGTCAATATGGGAAACCAGCTTACGTACTTGACGTACATACTTCTGAGGGTGATCGGGGGAGACATGGGCATGTCGAACAACATGACCCCGCATGCGGTACCATAGCTCCCATGACATTAACGGCATGAACAACGACAAGAAAAAGGAGACAGCACAACGACCACAGCAACAACAACGTCATCGCCATCACCACAAATAAACGCCAAGAACAACACGGTTGCCGGACGAACGCACCGGTCGGAACACGCTAGCATCCCATCCACACCTGTCAGCGCCGTCGACCTGGTGTGCGGTGCCACCGAGCGGGTTTATCATCTTGGCCCCCCTGGCGCTGGCCCCCGAGGGCACCTGGTCGCAAACGTTCACATCTGCCGAGAAGACGCAGTCGAGAAGTTTCTGGTAGGACGTCTTGCTCACCGTCCCGAACTCGTCGTGAGGGAGCGACTTGTGGAACTGGCCGATGAAGTCCGGAACGTTGGTCTCGTCTCCGTTGGTGATGTGGCAGGTGGGGCCGACCTGGAACTCTTCCTTCGCCGTGTCAACCCGCTTCTGGAGGGTAACCTTGGCACGCTCGGTCGGCTGCAGAACGAGGAACGTTAAAAAAAAGTGGAGGACTACAGTACCGTCGCAGTTGCCTTTTCTAGATTTTCATATCGATCGGTCCATGTAGACTACTACTGTACATAGTCCTGACTATCTGTGGAACAGCCGCGGATGCTGCTAGGTTGTAGGTGATTCCGCTGTGTACTGCTGTGATTGACTGTGTTTCGTCCGCAACAATACAACACTCTCTCATAAAAGACGTGGTTGATGAAATGAACTGGTGGTATTCTTGAATACGGAGTGGGGGCCAACAACCCGAACGGAGAGCGCAGACCAACGGAGCGGACATACCGTCGTGGTTGCACGCGTCACGACTTCCGATCTACCGGACGACGAGCACGAAGCCGTGTGGATTATTCGAGAAGTGGAAACTCTGGACAACTCGCAACCCGTAACTCCTGCTTCCATGCGCCATGCCTACGATATCAAATCAACAGTTGGAACACCAAACGCAAACTTACGCTTAGAAAGTCCAGAGAGTCTCTGACCCTGCATACGCTCCCGCTCAGGAGAGGATGAGTAGGTTGGTGTTCCTCGTTGCTGGCGGCGCCCAGAGAGGGAGGGGAGGCCGCGAGTAGTAATGTAATGCCGAAGAAAGCCTGCATGGTAGGTCATGGAATCAATTATTCCATTGGAAAAGCGCTTGGATCTCAGGCGACCAGTTCGTCACATTTTTTTGTGCCAGAGGCCGTTGACGACGGGGAAAACACGCTCCAACGGTAGCTGGTGGGCACAACATGTGGTACGTACGGAGTAGGTGAACGCTCGAAATCGTGTGAATGCCGAAGGGTGTCATATACTTCAGTATTCGATGTGGTCTGTGCTCGGGTGTTCCGCCACAGAAGAAAGCAGCGCAGACATGTTACTCAGCAGTAAAAGTGAAGAAACGGGCACTCACTCTGATTCGGCAAATGAACGGATACAGTCCTTGTTCGTATCGGCGTTAGACTGATGCGCTCACCCATGTGCTCTTCGTCATAGGGACCATTTTTTTTTTTTTGTCTCCCATCGTTGGACTCTGTCGTCTGCCCCTCTGGTCCCTATCCTCCACTTCTACCAGCTAGACGACCCAACCGGGGTCACATAGGAGGGGGGGTTGGACCCCCTCCTGCGGTTGTTGCGCGCTGGTTGTTGACCATTAGGCTAGTGTGACATGGGCTAGCTTGAAGTAGCTTGGTTTACGCTTATTTATCCGACAATACAAAACAAGTCTGTCAGTTGCACATCAGTCGTACGGTCGGGCGCGCTGCGGGGGACTGACGCATATCACGGGATCAACCGCAGCTACAGTAGTCTGTTACTACGTGCAGCCACCACTAGAACTCCCAGTACAGTATCGGTCTCAGGGGAAAGCTATTGGAAACGATAGTATGATTGCTGATTATCGAAAATACACGGAACACAACAGGAGGAGCATTCAACTGACCTTCATCGTTAACGTGCGTGAGCCCTTGGGCGCTTTCCGCTTCTTCGTTGGCAGCAGCAGGGGCAGTTGAACACGGAGAAGCAGGAAGCGAACAAACGATCAACTTCCGCCTGCCGAACGGTGTGTGGTGTGGGGAGAGGGGGACCCTCTCCGTAGCTCTGACCCTCTTCGGCATTTGGTTCCAAGGGCTCAGCGTGGCATCTTGTACGAAAATTCTCATGGAACATGGCACCACTGAATCGTTCTGACAATCGGGGCCGAGATGCGCGCACAGCCCACAGCCCACAGACCACAGCAGTCCACAACGAAAAACAAAAGTTTGTGGTGCTCCGGATCTCGCGGAATAGCCGCCTGCATGTACCTCCACGGCGGCGGTTGCCTGGGTGGAAGAAGAACGGATCTCCCGCTTAATCAACGGTAAACTATTATACAGCAGTTGTCCATGGTACCAGGTATGGTTTTCTCCTACCGAAGGACACAGGCTTCCCTCGTTGGGGGGAGGCCCAGGTCGCAGTAGTCTTTACCCACTACTAGGGGCTGGCAGTTTTCGTCGTTGAGATTTAGAGAGGAGAGGGTCTCAGAAGAGAGAGAGAGAGAGAGAGAGAGAGAGAGAGAGAGAGAGAGAGAGTGCCGCCGAAGGAGCGAAGGAGACCAAGCCCGAGGTTCTCGGATTCCCAAGCTCCACAGGTGGCGCCAAGAGGGACGCATCTATAGTCGGGTCTCTCGCTGGTCAACCATCTGTACGATCCTCCGTTCGGATCGTATCTTGGTCCTACTTTTGTATGTGCAACAACAATGGTTACAGCACTTCTACAACAGCTGTCATCCACATATGCGCCACAAATCCATCGTTGTTAGTTAAGGATGTATTTTTGCGTTTCTAGAGGCCTTGGGCGATGTCCATGGAAACAGGTGTTGGAAGTATTGTCATACTGTGTTGCAAAATCTTCAACTGTGTCTGAGTCAGATTTTCCTTGTTGAGATTAATTACACGAGTTCGTCAAACTCAGTTGAAGCTAAAGATGTGGTCCATAGCACAAGTACAGAAAATAAAACTAAAAAACAAAAATAAATGATGCTTCATCTCCTGCATGATTCTGACAGAAGAAATTTTCCTCCGTTCAGATATATTCTAGGGTGGCCATACCCCGATTATTGTGGTTACGCAGTCATTATTGTGAAGTCAACAACAACAAACAAGTCGGAGTAAAATGAGCTACGTCCCAGTTTCCGTGACATCGGATTGGTTACAGCTACAAAAAAACAGTTTGAATGAAACTGATAGCTGAATGTACCATTGTTGTTGTTGACTTCACATTAAACCGTATGCCAGTTGCTAAATGCCAAAATCTAGCAAAGACTCTCAGCCCGTGGTCACGAAAGTGCTAGAGCCATCTGAGGATCTAAAGAACACGCACACGTAGCAAGAAAAAGGTATCCAAGAGCCCGAAGAGGTACTACT